AATGGTCATGATTTTTTGGGACCACAACTCATGATTTTGGCCGCTTTCTACCAAATCTCAAATTGTTGTCCTGCGTAGAATATTTTTTACGTGCTCTAAAATATTCTGAATTTCTGTGACTTTACCCATTATTCTGGTCGTTTGCAACCAAATCACAAGTTACAATCTTGCATAGAATATTTTATTGCGTATCACTTTATCTATTCTTGTTGTTTCGGTAAAAAAAATATATATATTTTTTTTTTTGAGGCACAGGCGTCCTTAAAACCTTTTTTGAAAGATATTTGTTGTTGATTCTCGAACACTCAAATAGACTGTCACTTTAGAATGGACAATATCAATCTCTTCTGGAATACTATCCTAGCCCTCCTTGGATTTGGTGAACACTAGTCAAATTCAAGCTTCAACCCATCTGTACCCTGTACCTCATTGAAGATTGGAAGAAGGAAGTCAATGACATATATATCCCAACTTTCACAACGATCCTCAAAACACTGCATTGATGTAAATCATTGTTTCTTTCATATTCAAGCTAATGCCATAAGTAAATGCAAAGACCAGCATCGAGAGTCTGTTTGAGTCAACAATCATGCATGTTACTGGCATGGAGGGGGTCTGCTTCTATTTGAGTCTCGTCCAACTGTTCAAGATATTGCACCATGCTTTTACCCATTGCGTGAGCCAATGAAAGTTAACTATTTAATATCATGTGTATTAAATAGAGCAGTATGCTATAAATATAGATCTACCAAGTGTAACATATCATGTGCAGGATGATGACTATCATAAATGTATGCTAAGCTACCATCATAAATAGATGATCTCAGTTCAGCCAACCTCAAGATGATTAAAGTTTGAGACAAGGAGAAAACTTATAGTATTTAGTTTTCATCACCAATTTCTATGGATCATCTTCTCTCTATTCTTGCTTTTATGATCATTATTAATTTCACGCTTTTGTTTGCATTTGGGTATGGACAGTGATTTTGATTGCATGATCCTGATGCATAACTATGTTTTTTTTTTTAACTTTTGTTCGGAAATGCGTATCTAATTATTATTTTGTGTACAGTTCAGAATGATATATTACATGAAAACTTATGGTCCGCCTTCTTAACGAATGGATTACTCCCAAAAGAGAATTTATTCATCTTTTAATAAGGGTTAATTGCAGATAAACCTCTTAACGAATGGATTACTCCCAAAAGAGAATTTATTCATCTTTTAATAAGGGTTAATTGCAGATAAACCGGCCCCCAATAGTATCGCCAAATTAAACTCACTACCGCTGTAGTTATATTGCTACAGATAGACTCCCTGTGTAAAAATCTACTGTTGCAGATAGACCCCCTGGAAAGGGTCAAAAAATTTCACTAAAATATGATAGTTGAAATGTTTTAGTAAAGGACCTTCCTCTGAGCCCCAGCTTTGAGGAGGAAGGTCTCGTCGGTGCATTGGACCTCAGAAAGATAGTGAAGGACCTATTAGTTTGTAGTGAGTTATAGACAAAACCAAAATGGGTAAATTAATCACATGTATGAAATGAATTAAAAAAAAAATCAGTATTAATGGAGTACTGAAATAGTACAAAAATCAGTCGTACTCACTAAAGATTTTTAATGAATCTCAGAGACAACTGATAGAGATGTAAAAATCATTACTGTCGTCAAATGTATGACAGGGAAAGGGGGGGGGGAGCCCTATGTAGGATACTTTATAGAAAATCATATAGGAACGGAGTGACATGTATGCATTATTCATCTTAAACCAATGAAACAATGCTAGACAACATAAACATGTAAATCTCAACGCACAAACTAAATATCAGTGAACAAATATTGAACTAGCTAGTATAAGATACTCATAGACAAAGCCTGCATGGGTAAACTCATCAAATATCTGAAATGGGAAAATTTCCTACAGACGACCTCTATAGAACTAGGGTTGCATATGGTGCGGATAACGCTCGGATATGATGCTTACCATATCCGTATACGCTTACCAATCACAGATACGGGTATGGATATGCCTCGGTCAAGATAATTCACATATATATATCTGCTATAATCGGACATGGATATGCATGTGGATATACAAGCAGATATACATGCAGATACAAAATGGATATGAGGAAACTCGATAATATTGAAAAACATAAAGTTTGTAGGATACAGGAGAGTTCATTACTATATATGTTTGTTATATCTAAAGAGCTAAGATTAGATATCTTGATCATCAGAATTAACCTCAAATCCATTAATCAAAGGATTGAAATTGTTGCAACGGTATGGCCAATATATATTCGGATATTTCGCGTACGGATCCAAATATCATAATCATATCCTATTGGTTATAGATTAACCATATCCGGATCCTAACGGATATGGATATATATTTCCTCAAATACGGATATTTTGTGCATCCTTACATAGAACTCACATACAGGGGAGGTAAAATTTGCCACGTATTCCGCTATCAATTTTAAATCAGTGGGAACACTATATACAACCATTGCAGACAGGAAAAAGCGGTGAAATAGTTAAAATATCAGCAGCAGCAGCAGCAGCAGCAATACTAAGTCAGTGCAAATATAGGAATTAATCAGTACAGACTTGGAGCGTGGTAGTGAGCTGTACAGTGTAGTTGGTCATATATAGAACTCAGATTCTTAAATTCATCAAACATATGGAAATCCAAATTAAAGTGAAAACGTATGAAATTGGAAGAGGACAGAGATAGAGAGAGGCTTAATTAATTACTGGGGTTTTTTGGGTTAGGGGAAGGAGGGGGGAAGAAGATGGAGAAGTTCATGAAGCAGCCGATCGAGGGTGGGGCTGAAGTGCCTGTATCTCTTGTTGTAGCCGTTGAACATCTTAGAGCTGCCGACCTCTGCGGGCTTCAACTGAGCTCCACGGTCTTCATCTCCATCGCTCTAATTAAGCTTCTGCTCTCCCTCTCTCCACGTTCTTATTGCTGAGCACTTTCATGAAAGAGTTGAGAGTATTAAAATAGAAGTTGGTGACTAATATTTTGCCCTTAAGCTTTTGGATTAGAAACTGGTGGTTGTTAGGGGGGGCAGGGGGCGGTAAATGATCGAATCAGAATGGAATGCTAACGAGCTCGTAGAAAAATGCTTTCAGTCCCCCAAAAACTAAGGAAACATGCTTCCCACCCTCAAGACTTTGTCAACGGGTGTTTTACCCTCAAAAATAAAGATTATGTTTTCTGAGCCCCCAAAACACAAAACACAAGACATTAAAACATGTAAAGACCATAATACTCTTCTCTCTCTCTTTCTTTTTTTTATTAAAATATGATGAGGATTATTTTATTATTTTTATGTTCTCTCTCTCTTTATCATGATGTACTAAGATGATAGTTGAAATGATTGATGATGATTATTTTATTATTTTCGTTTTTTATTATTTTGGTTGTTTGTATTGGGAGATTGTTAAAGTTACGGGTTAATTGTTAATGTTACGAATTAATTGTTAATGTTACGGGTCAATTGTTAAGGTTACGAATTAATTGTTAATGTTACGGGTCAATTGTTAAGGTTATGAATCCTCTCTCTCTCTCTCTCTCTCTCTCTCTCTCTCTCATGATGTTTCTTTGATGATATTGAAATGATTAAAGAGGATTATTATTTTATTTTTTTTTATTTTTTATTCTTTTTTTATTTTTAGAATATTCGTTGTTAAGGATAATGGTTGGTTGTAAAGGTTATGCATTGATTGTTAAGGTTACGGGTTGGTTGTCAAGGTTAAGGGTTTGTTGTTAAGGTTATGGGTTTGTTGTGTAGGTTAAGGGTTTGTTGTTAAGGATCATTTCAACTATCATCTTAGTACATAATGATAAAGAGAGAGAGAAAATAAAAATAATAAAATAATCCTCATCATATTTTAATAAAAAAAGAAAGAGAGAAAAAAAGGTATTATGGTCTTCACATGTTTTAATGTCTTGGGTTTTGTGTTTTAGGGGCTCAGATAATAGAATCTTTATTTTTTGGGGTAAAACACCCGTTGACAAAGTCTTAGGGGTGGGAAGCACGTTTCCTTAGCTTTTGAGGGCTGGAAGCATTTTTCCCTTATATTTATCTCAAATTATAGAATTCGAACGCGAGCTCTAATACTCTAATATTCATGTCCGGAGGTTTTCGAATTTGAACTCGGATATTCGGTAAATATTCATGAATACTTATCGAACATCAAAGTACGTTAATTTATTCCGCTAAAGAATTTTATTTTTAAATGGTATTTTAAATCCATAAATACAAACTATTTCTTTATAATATATATATATATATATATATATATATATATATATATATTTATAAATCAGAATTTTCATTAGATAATAGATTTAAGACTATTTAAGTCTTACTAGTACTGTTTCTTGCTCCCCTCTTCTTTTTATCCCCCCAAAACACAATTCAGCTTCCTTAAATTATTTAGCGGATACAACATGGTCAAGAAAACACACCCTTAAAAAAAAAGCCTCTCTTTCAGATTAATCTTCTAACAAAGAAGAAATTTTTTAACTGTGCAACCTGCAAAATTAACATCAAAATCTTTTTCTCTCGCCCGCAACCGGCTTGCTTTTTTATATTAAAAAGAATGCAACTAGCCTCCACCCCCAAAAAAGTTCAAATCGAAGAAGAATCTCCCAAATTCGAACTGAGCGCTAACTAGAGGGTTAATTTCAAACGACTTACAGAATAATGTTGTCAAATGTTTGCTAATGTAATCAAATAATCCTCTACTCCTAGACTTTTGTTAAAAAGAAAAAGGAAAAAGAATTACGCAGGCGCATCTCATGAGTCGCTTCCAGTATCCAAGTAACAAGCACAGTTATTTTAGTTCCGAAATTGACGAGAGAGGAACTACTCCTATACATAACCCCCCAAAGGGATCGGAGCTCTAATAATGAGCAATCATACAAGTTGACTTCTCAAATGATAATAACATCTAACTTCAGTTTCAATAATCAACTATACCAAGTAGACCTCTCAAATGATGATATTTTAACTTCAAACAGGAATTGATGCTCCCATCTCAAAGCAGGCATCAGAAATAAGTTGAGTGAAGTTTTTTGATACTTAACTAACAAGTAACATGAGTTCCATATGAAACGTTTAACACCATTATCCAACTTCCAAACAAGAAAACACACCACATCTATTCATCAGTTCACCCCTCGAGTTTCACAAGAAATTTCGGTATCTCTGAGGGAGAAAACATCAATCACTTGCCTCCAGCGAATTTCCCCATCATCTTGGCAATCACAGGAGCCACCTTGGGGTTCGCTTGGTGCTTTGCAATGTTTGCAGGGTTTTTCATGACTGCGCGAAAGAAATCAAACAGACAAAAGCGGTCAAAAATCAGAAAGCCAGGATAACACTTATTGCCAGTTAAAGCTACATTTGTATTGACCATAGTCTATACATGAATAAGAATTACAATACATATGTTGTTTATTCATTTGCTAAGTAAAAACAGATGGCTGTGATATAGCTCGATAGTTTGAGTAGATGCATGTATGACACTGTTTCCTAGCCTAATTTAGTGTTTTGATCAGTGAGACAAGTTCCCATCTATCTCAAGAGACTTCTTTAAAAGCTCATTAACTACTCTTACCATTGTAACTAAAGAATATGCATAACATGAGTAGAATAATTGTTCCTTACGTTTAAAAAGTTATTGTTTTCTTATTAATTACAAAATGTTTTGAGATGCTACCATATTCAAACGCAAACTGGATACATGAATATGCAGGCTAGATTACAAAAGAACTACAAGTTTTCAGACTTTCAGAGAAAGCTACCAATTTTCAGACTTATAGATAAACTACCGAGAGGATGCTTTATTACGCGAGATATTGCTAATTATTTTTTAAACGTGCATGTGCACTTTATGACCGTAAGGGATTTTAATGAAATTTTCATAATTCAGGCTTTTATGCATAATAAAGCAAGTCCATGGAAGCTTTCCATAGAAGGATAAAAGTTCCTATAGACTACTACGCTTTAGCCACTCACACAAAAAGACACACACACACACACAAATTGAAGCTTACTAGGCAAAAGACTTAACAGTTTGCTCCCACCTTTAAAACTCATAAACTGTCACTGAAGTGGGCGATCCAATCTGTTAATCTTAACTAGCATGTCATAAAATGTATGTGAATCACGCATTTTGGAATCTAGCACACCATCCATTTAGTGGTTTGTTTAGTTCTATGTTGAACAACTTTGTTTTTTAACTACTGGAGAATGAGTTGGGAAATCTTCAAACCGTATAATTCTTTCGTCCATATGCATATTATGATCTATAGATCATGATGAATGGTGTGGATCCCCTCAAGTATGGTGATCTACAGATCATGATGAATGGTGTGGATCCCCTCAAGTACGGTGTCTGACCATGTAGTCTGAGAGATGGCAATACATGTCCATGTACAAGCATTAAATATATGAACTTATGAACTATAGATCATGATGAATTGTGTGGATCCCCTCAAGTACGGTGATCTACAGATCATGATGAATGGTGTGGATCCCCTCAAGTACGGTGTCTGACCATGTAGTCTGAGAGATTGCAATACATGTCCATGTTCAAGCATTAAATATGTGAACTAAATAATATTGTTGTGCCGTAAGACCTAGAGTTAGAGCATTAGTGGTTGACGCACCGTTAGGAATGGGCTGACATATATGTCCCTTTGATTCACAAGTTCAAATGGTTACATCCTAGAGTATAGCATTTGAACACAACACACACACACATGCACACCTATGCACACACATCCACCACAAGCATGCATTCATGCAAGCAGATGTACACGCACACCTCTCTCACGTATATAAGGGGGAAACAAGTATAATGTGGCAGCTCGTTTTGCTAAATGAGCTAATAAACTAGTTGTCAGTAGATGGGCTAGTAACGAGGCTCATCATACCAGTCACACTGAAGCCGGTGGACCTCACAATTCCCATCTCTTGGCAACTTATTTCAATATTTTGCTAAATGAGGTTGCAGCTCAATCAATGTCTGGTTTGGACACACGAGTCTGTTCCTTCAAATCCAAGCTGTCCTTCGTATACATCCTAGCTTTTAAGGAATTGTTTTATTACCATGTCACTAGGTAGCATGGACACGGGTGCAGACACAGTCATGGACAAATGAACACGGCGAATTTTTAAAATGTAGAATACAAAGACACGGCTACACGTGTGTATGCGTGTAAAATTTACATTAGATCAAATATTGAATTAAAATACATATGACATTTGTATGTTTCTTTCTGTTATCTATAGCAATTAAGAATCAAGTTAAACTAAAACTAAGTATATGGTTTAACAACAAAAGTCTAGTTTTGATCACATGGGATAATACAATAGGTAATTTTGAAATATTTTTAGTGATGAGCGTCAGTTTTCAGGTTCAAAAAACCAATTGGTTTTGAACCTGGTATTACCAAAGAAACTAGTTTAGGGTGCATGTGATGCGGAAATCGGGTTTTGCCTTAAACCACGTGTCCAAGGCTTGTCCGCAGAGAATCTGTGCCTGACATGTGTCAGACACGGCACTCAAAATGCCATGACCGAGTTACCAAGCCATGTCATAAGGTGGGTCCTATGTTCTGAATTCACCACTTTCTAATATACCACAGATCATCCTCAAAGAATTCAGAAAAAAGAGAGAAAATTCATCACAGGAGGATTCTTTCCGCATTTCACTAGACTACTTGCACATCAAACTTTACACCCTTCCACATTTCACTAAACTACATGCATATTCTGTCAGACTTTTGAACCCTGACAAATATCAATTTGAGCCTTACAAACATGATCTTGCTACTTGCACACAATAACATAGCATACTGGAACTGCAGAGATTTAATCTACAAATAAGAATCACCAAATAATCTTACCATGTATCTCCATTCCCATACTCTAAAAAATGTAAACTAGAAATATAATTTGAGCATAAAAAAACAAGTTGATAAGAAACACAATAAGACAAACATATATACCATCCTGGAGAGCTGCCATTATTTCTGGATCACTAAATGCTGCCATTAGTTCCGGGTCCTGTTCCAACAATTGAACTCATTTAGTTAACACATAGCACATGCAAGAATAAGAGTGAGCTAGAGCGCTAGAAACACAGCCATTCTACCAAAAGGATTTTTGCCATATTAGACCCCCAAATCTTTGTTAATTCTACATTACACCCTCAAATCTTCATGTTTCCAAATTAGACCCCAAAAATTCATATTTGTTTGAAAATGGAATCTTATTAACAAAAACTTAATAGATTTAGGGGCCTTATTAAAAACAACTTAATAGATTTGAGGTTAATAGATTTGGAGGTCTAATTTAGAAAATGAAGAGTTGCAGGCGTAATATGACCAAAAAAAAAAAACAGGCTTACATTTAGAATCTTGCTCATATCAATATTCCCAGGCATGCCCCCAGGCATGGCACCTGGGAATCCGCCAGGCATTCCTCCTCCAGGGAATCCGCCGGGCATGCCTCCTCCAGGGAATCCGCCGGGCATGCCTCCACCAGGGAATCCACCAGGCATGCCTCCTCCAGGAAATCCACCAGGCATACCTCCTGGTTTTCTTGCAGACGATTGTTCTTTCTTTTTAGCCTTCTCATATGCAGCCTGTATAAGACTCAAGGTTATAACACAGAACGGACAGACTCCCTTCTATCACCCAATTGCGGATAGACCACCTATAGTTTCATTGTCGCAGATAGACCCGAGTGAATCTTTTTTTATTACTCTTTTACCATAAAAAAAAGAGGACTGTTTTTTGACGAGGCCTCCTGAGGTAAACGAATGAAAAAACATGCACTCCGGGGTCTACCCGCAGTTGGGCCATGGTACAGGTGTCTATCCACGCTTGGGCAATAATACAGGGGGTCAATCCACAATTAACCCTAATATCAGGGTTAGGAGCAACGGTAATGCCACAAACCTGTGCCTCTGCTTTGCGACGCTGCCTCTCACGCTCAGCTTTTGCTTCTTCTCTTTCCTTCCGCAAGCGGTCATACTTTCTACGATGCTCTTCAATCTTGTGTGCATTGGGTTCAACCTGGATTCCACCAACAGCATAACTGCCTTATAAATATTTTACGAAGTTCTTCATGAAGATATAGGGATTTTACCTTTTTGAGCACAGATCCAATCTCTTCGTCGTAATCCAACTTGGACGCCATGTGCAGATCCTTGGCAGCTTCCTCCCATTGACCAAGCATGGATAAAGCTATACCACGAGCCTTGTAGCCTTTGGCAGAGTCGGGGTTGATCTGTGAGGTGTCAAAAACTTTTAAGCCTTTCTCCAAGCTAGTACCAGTGATTAAGGAGAAATGGAATAAAATAATATGGCTAACAAGCAATCAGAGACATCATAGCAACTTGGCTAAAAATATCTCTAAGCAGAAAATACAGTAAGTATATTATGTCACTTTTTCCCAAGCACCAGTGTAGGTCAAAACAGCACGCAACTAATGGTATGATTAAGAATGATATAAAGATTACGATTTATGAACCCATGGAGAAGTGGACAATTTAAGCAGGAGTAGGTTATAGATTAGATCTGAGGATAAAACATTGCATTTCAGAAATTATGATTCTGCAATAGTTTGTCTCCATTGCAATATCTGTGGCAGTAGTTACACTCTAGGTGTTTTCATTATCTTACATTGACTATATGTAGTATCAGGAGATATCAAAGCCAACAGCTGAATTTTTGTTTGTTTAGACTGCTAATCAGTTTTTTATCCACAGAATTAGGTTTTACTTGTTGCCAAGAATATTAGGTGCAGACAACTTAACCGCATATACCACATATGCTACACATAAATCTTGATAAATATTGCTTTTAGATAATAGAAAATGCTGAGTAAACTAAATTGATAAGAGCTATAAACTACAGGAGCTTGCTGGATTTTTTTGGCTTTCAGGAACCTTTTTTTAATTCATCTAACTACTACAGACTTATACAGCTTACTTAAAATGAAAATAACAACCGAAATTTTTTAGAAATATAAGTAAACTTTGCATTATTTGAACAATAAAAATTCATGGCAGTTTTTTTAAGAGCTCTCCGAACAGCTTGTTTTAAAAGAAAAATATAACTACCTTATTTTACAGAAATCTAAGATAAACTTTGCATTATGTGAACAATCAAAATTCATGGTAGTTTCTTGTGAATTAGCCTTGCAAATATATAAATTAACATATATTCCCTTATACACATCGAGATGCTTGCTGACTTGCATTAAATTTGAACTTCAATGGTTGAACTTAGAAACCTAACAAAAAATAATTATGTCTACTTAGCATTTTTATTTCAGGATCCTATCATTATATTTATATCCAAATAATTGCAAGTGCCATAAGTTCTTTCTGTGTATGATTCCCCAACACATAAAAACATTACATTGCATTGCTTGCAATTCATAAAAGCTAGCTTATTTGTTGCAAAAAATGTTTACATGGTGTATATGCATGTATGCATAGATGTGGCAAGTAATGTATATGCACACACATGGCAAGTATGTGACAACATTGCACACAAAGGCATACCACTTCTCGCAAAATGCAATATAAATATAATATTACCTCCAATGCTGCAGTTGCATCACGAATAGCAGCATTTGGTTTCTTCATCTTGATATATACAGTAGCTGCATGGTGCACATATTGATTGAATATAAAGCAAGACAAAAAAAATTGAAGTTCTTATAATTTTCATAAATTTCTTAAAACAATATTGGCGTTTACCTCTAGTGCCATACATAATTGCTGATGTTGGATTCAGTAAAATAGCCTCAGTCAGATGTTCAATTGCTCCATCAAAGTTTCCTGGAATGGACATGATTAAATGATAAGGAACAACAAGGACTGCTTTTCATAAATATAGCTTACTGGCACACCTTCTGAAATTGCTTCGATGGCCTTTCCCTTCGCCACTTGAGCAGCATCACGGTTCTCTTCTGTAACCTCGACAGTTGGATCTCCCATCTGGAGAGAACGACGCAAGACTTAGCAATATACAAAAGGCATATAACCTTAATACTCCTATAGCGTACAGAATAACCTTTTGGGGAGGCTCATTGTCTGGTTCAACTGTTTCCCCTTCAAGCTCAATGTCAGACTCAATAATTTCATCATCCGGTTCCTCTTCAGGCGGAGCAGCCTTTCCTTCAAAATCATCTTCATCCACATCTTCATCACTTTCATCAATCATTTCGCTCTTCTACAATTAGCCCATACAATCAAGTTAAACAGCACTGCCGGTAGGATGTACATATTTCCAAAGAAAAAAGAAAAATAAAAGCCAGAAAAAATTTGTTTCTTTTCATAGTTTGCACCAGTATTCAGTATGATCAGAAGGATACAAAAAGAAGACAAAAGATAACAGTGCAACTAGGGGAAATAAAATATTAACTGTATATATACACTAGACTTCAAAATACATAACAGTTCTTCCCACTGCCTAATACAATGGGGAGACAGGTTTATACCTTCCAAATAAAAACCAATTTCGGTCAGTAGAAAACAAACAAAAAGCTAATCTAAGAGCTTCCAGCGCCTTATTAAACAATACACTGTCGAAACAAAGAAAAGATAACTATAAACATCTTTTTGAGCATTAGATAGTCGCACTAAACAGTAAGCATCTATTGATGCATTCATAATCAACACAAATATAAAGCCAGCATTAACAAATATATTATACTGAATCATTCTAACGAGGCAAGTGAGAAATGCTCTAAAATTTTTCGTTATTAGTTAAATACACTAGTTTCACTGTCCCTGATATATCCCAACTTGTCGGACAACAATATCATTTTCAAGCATCTAACATCACGATATAATGGTATACATAGTGTCAATTGTCAGGTACGGCTCGGCAGCATGATATTTAAGTGCTATAACAGTTCATTTATTTGCTTTTTATTCCATTTATTTATCAATAAGATATAATGAAGAATATGTTGCCTATCAATTTGTTAGTTTGTTCGTGCACATTAACAATTAAATGGGCTATAACAAGCAAGCAATTTACACCGAGAGACAAAATTACTAAATGGGCTTTTCTAAAAACAGAAAAATCTAACACCTTATTCGCTATCGCATTAAAGCACAGAAATTAACACAAAATTTCATCCAAAAAACCCCCAAAAACTTACCCCTTCGCGACTTCTCGGTGATTGAGCCTTGCCATAAGCAGAGGGGGGCAATTTAGCCCCCAAACTGTAACAAAAACAACAAGATCAAATAAAAAAACTAAACAAACCCCCAAAAAAATCCAAAAAAAAGGGGGAAAATAGGGCTTTTACCTCTCGAGATAATCTCTGAAGAAAGCGAGGGAAGGATCGGAGAGGAGAGCGGGACTGTTGCGGCACTGCTCTATGAACAGCTTCAATTCGTTTAATTTTGTTGCTTCCATCGATTTTGATCGAAGAAAAGGGCAAAAAGACTTGAGCTTTGATGCTCCCTTCGTTTTCTTTTGGGTTTATTTGGGGGGGTTTTGACGCCTGTTGAACTTCTTCTGGTAGTTTCTGAGGGTTTGGATAGCGGGTACGGGTGATGCGGGTGCACTGCTAACCGCGGGTGCAAACATGTGGATCCGATACGGTTTGGATACAGACTCGCATACCCGATATGGTTCATGAATCGGGTATCTTCTCCGAATGTTGGTCACTCCTCGAAAACTAACAGTTTCTCATTTTGCATGCTGATAATTTCGAGCTTTGCCACTGGGACCTAAAATATGGGACCAATAGGTGGGACAAGTGAGGTGTCTCCCTCCTATTTTCTGATATAAATGTACTCTCTTTTCATGTGCCTTGATTGATCTAAGGGTGCTTCCACAGGGACCCGAAAATGGGACAGATAGAAGAGGATGGGTAAGATGTCCTCCTCTGATTGCATAATGAGCTGACCATTATGCATAATAAGACATTTTTCTTGATCCAGAATATATCTGTAAATAAATTCTCATTAGTGCAATGAATTAGAAGAGTATTTTGCTTCATGCAAAAAATATGGTAAACGCGCATCAAAAATGCTGCGAGAAAAACTCAGGTTCGCCCGATGCTACGAGTCATACCTACTTATTTTCATTTTCAAATTGCGTCGAATCCTCCCTTAAATATAACTTAAAATTACGTCTTCATTATATAAATGCACCCGGAACATACCACACAAAATATGTAAATGAGGCCTACACAATATTTCCAATGGAAACACATATATAGCTGTGTTTAGTGCATCTCAAAACCTAGATTTTTGGACCCTTGAATCATAAGAAATTAATTTAAAATCCATGTAACTGCGTTTACTTGAACGACATAGGTATTTGATATCTGCATTTGTATCAAACTTCTCTCAATATCAAGTATTTGTACTTTTATTTGTACATAAATCTACTGATGGATTGATCGTAAGCAAAAACAGCGCAACAGAAAAATGGAAAATACTTTCGTCTTTTTGAACATAAATAATTATTTTGATCGTCCTAACTAAATTGTAATTCTCCGCATGCTTATCCGAAACAATCTTTAATTTTTTTTAAATTTTCGCATCATCCGAAACTTCTCATAGCATGTTTAATATATATACCACATAATATCAACCACAAGTTCTCATGATGCATAGTTACGTACAAAATATCATTCGGTTTATTTGTATGTTCCTAGTCTGAAATTTTGAGCTCATGGAAAAAATAATTCAAGGTGAGCAGTAGGAGAAGAGTGCAAAATAGCATGAGTGAAAATGCACATCAAAAAAATCAGCGGGGAGCTGATTATAAAAAATAAAAAAGATTTTGAGGTTTGCAAAAATGAGGATTGAATGCAAACAAAAATAAACTACTTTGAATTTTTCACGCTGTAATTAATTACAAGAAGTTGTCGAACACTACTTTCGACGAAAAAACGATTCAGTTTCACTCCATTTTGAATACAGTTTCATCTTCTCTTTACCCCAAGAACTAAACTATTCACATTCCGTCGATTTCTCAACACTTAGGTTACTTTCAACATCTAATTACAAATCGAACGAAGGCGACCAGCAAGACTTCGACTATGGAGATGAAGAAAAACAACACAGAGACTCCAAAACCGTCGTCTTCAAGAACGGGTAAAACGATTCAAACCCTCGTATTAAAAATGTAATTTTTTTTTCAATGTTTCAAAATTTTTCATAGATTCAGTGAGGAAAGGTTCGTAATTTAGACATGAATCACTTGCATGTTGTTGAATACTTTTTTATTTTATTTTTTTAGCTTTCCCATAATATGTTACCGATGCATGTTCTAGTTTAGGGTTTTTATTTTTTTCATTTGCCTTTATCTTGTTAAAAACAAACTAAGTTTTTGTTAATATTGCAAGATGTTTTCATTTGTTCTAAATGGGTAACGATTAATTATGGTTGTCTAGATTCTGCAATATGCACTCAACTTTAATCTCCTCGATTCACTGCAGTGAATCTCGATTCACTGCAGTGAATCTCGATTCACTTAAGTGAATCGAGATTCACTGCATTGAATCGATATTCATTAGAGTGAATCACGATTCATTGGATGTATCTCTATTCACTAAAGTGAATAGCTACTTAGTGGAGTCAATTTGTATTCACTCAAACATAGAGAATCTCGATTCACTAATTATATGGTTTATGTATACTAACAGTGAAATTAAACTGTAACGATGATCAGTTTTTCCTTGTTGTGTTGAGTGACGAGACACTGAAAGAATGTATGGTATGTCATGGAGTTGGTTTCATATCATAGAATCTGGATTCAATTTGCTGAAGCTCGATACAATTTGTTGAATTTGGATTCACTTTGATAAATCTCAATACATTTGGTTGAATCTTGATTCACTTTAGTTAATGTAGATTCACTTAAGTGAATCTCGATTCACTAAAGTGAATCTAGATTCACTTAAAGTGTATCTCGATTCACTACAGTGAAACACTATTGACTGCAACGATTCAATGGAGTGAATTGATATTCACTCACGTGAATCGCGATTTAGTGCAGTTAAACGATATTCATTTCAGCGAATCGCTATTCACTGAAGTGAATTGCGATATGGATTATAATATCTATATTCAATAATGTGATTAAACCTTCATGCTTGCCATGCATTATGCAAAGTCTGTTATCATTAAAAAATGAAATGTCATCGGTTTAGCAGGTCTACGATCTAGTTCAAGAATAAAAAAAAAGCATGTGTTGAGATGGTTGAGGTATTTACACCTATACCTCAACAGAAGACAACACGGGTTGTGACCATGCAAAGCAGTGACGATGACTTCATCAACCCCCCAAATAATCCTGACAGTGAGGAAACATTAAAGCGTACAAGGGATGAAGACAATGAACAGACCCCAAAAAGAATGAAGAAGAAAAAGGTTGGTGTACTAAAAATTTTTAATTTTTTTTGTGTATTCAATGATGGATAATTTGATCTAATTATATTATTTTCCTCACTGGAGAAGCTTGTGAAAAAAAGATATGTGAGGTCCAACACTGACGATGACCTCGTGAACCCCCCAAATAATCCTGCAGCTGACGAAACATCAAAGCGTAGTAGGGATGAAGACAATGAACAGATGACAAAAGGAAGGAAAAAGATGAAAAAGGTTAATGTACTAAACATCTTTTTACATTTGTGAACGATTAACTCTGGTTGTCTGGATTCTGCAATATGCACTCTACTTTAAACTCCTCGATTCACTTGAGTGAAACGAGATTCAATGCAGTGAATCGAGATTCAATGCAGTGAATCGAGATTCACTGCAGTGAATCGAGATTCACTGCAGTGAATCGAGATTCACTGCAGTGAATCGAGATTCACTGCAGTGAATCGAGATTCACTGCAGTGAATCGAGATTCACTAGAGTGAATCGCGATTCATTGGATGTATCTCTATTCACTCAAGTGAATAGCTACTTAGTGGAGTCAATTTGTATTCACTCAAACATAGAGAATCTCGATTCACTAATGTGAATCCTGATATTCACAAGAACATTTTTTGTTATTAACTGATGGATAATTTGTACTAATTTTCTTTTTTTGTCACTGCAGAAGTTTTTGAAAAAAAAATGTGAGTTCTGAACCTAAGGAGTTGACTAGGATACGGGTCTCTCCAAAGATATTCTCTGATATGGTTTTGTCACTCTCTGACTCCCAAAAAGAATGGGTGAGACTAGCTGGACTTGGAGGTCTTTTACAATTTGGATTAAAGGAACTGCCACATATGTTGGGGTACCAGATTCTGCAGTCCTTTGACAGTGAATCCGTTGCGCTTAATCTTCCCAGAGGATCAATCAGTATCACAGAGGAAGATGTACATCAAGTGATGGGATTACCTCTAGGCAGGAAGCGTATACCAGCTTCCAGTACTGGCAAGTCAGCATTGGTGGATGAATGGAGGGGTCAATTCACAGACAGATTTGGTTGGAAAATTACGCCAGGGGCTGTGTCTGAGAAACTGAAGCACAGTTCTGATGTTAACCTGTTTTTTAAACTGAATTTCTTGGTTCTCTTGCACAACAGCATTATCCAATCGCTTAGCAATCCGTATGTCAACCAACGGATTCTAGTACTTGGTGATAATGTTGATCAGTGCTCTCAATACAATTGGTGTTCTTTATTACTTGACTCAATGATAGATAGCCAACACAAGTGGAAGGTTGACCCGACAAAACAAGGGTCCTCTTGCATTCTTGATTGTAAGCCACTTGTATAATATTGATTTATTTTTACATTACTGTAGTTAAAGTAGTTTTACTTGATGATTACTAATTGATGTGCTTTATTTCTTATCTCCGTCTTTCTAGCTGTTCTATGTCGATCGGGTTCTGTTCAAAGGTAGGAGGTTGGTTGAGAGAACAACCCTTACATTTTTAGGATGGACTGACTTCGCCTTGAAGGAAAGACAATCAGAGGAAATAAGAACAAATTCATTTGGCAAAGGTGCATTTACAGAGAGGGTTGAACTTTCAGATTCATCTCGAATGCAGAGTGCTACTGGAAACTCTCCTAAAAGTGTTGATACAATTAGAAAAGTTAGCATATTAAGTTGCAATACTTTGTTTATTCAATTTAATCTCGAATAGGTAGGAGTGAATCTCGATTCATTTAAACTGAATATCGATTAAGCTACATTGAATGTGAATCCAGATTCACTACTACTCAATCTTGATTCACTACTATTGAAATGAAGCTGGATTCACTATTACTGAATCTCGATTCATTGAAGTGAAACTGGAATGAATCTGGATTCACTACTACTGAATCTTGATTCAAATACATTGAATGTAATTTCAAACTATCGAATCTTGTCTATCGCCATGTTAATAATTTATGGTGACCAATGTCTGTGATATTCAAAATGCAGGATTGTATTGAGAGGGTTCAACGGAGAGCTGCAGAGCTGGAATCTGCAAAAAATAGATTTGATGCTGAGTGTGAGACAATGAGAAAGTTATTCCCCAATGACAATGAGCTCTTTCAGATTCAACAGAGAGTTTCAAATGTACTTGTGCAGGGCACTGATCATCAACATAATAGGCTGGAATCCATGACTCCCGAATGTTATACAGTTCACACAACCATTCATTACTTTCAAGCTTATATTCTTTCATAACATCTTTCCAACCGACTTCAAATGTTGCTGGATCTATATCTATACTCCAAATCAGTGCATTGATCTTCCTCTTGAAATCATCCATCTTCGAAATGCATTTTGCCAACTACAATATAAATATATAACGAAAGATTCAGTATTTGTCTAATGAGGATTCATTATATTTATATGTGGGATTCATTACCTTTTGGTTAAATTTCTTCATGATGTGCCACATGCACAAACGGTGACGTGCTTCTGTAAAGACAGTTGGTATAGCTTGCTTCATGGCAGGGCACTGATCTGTAACAATACACTTTGGCTCGCGAATCATGCATTTCATGAATACCTCAAAAGTCCAGACATAGTTATCAATGTCCTCTTTAGCTATCAATCCTGCTGCAAATACAACACACTTCTTATAATTGTCGAGACCAGTAAATGGAACAAACTTCATGTTGTACCTATTGTATCACATACAAAAAATATAAGATTCACTATGATATATAATTACAATATTAAAAATCGTATTGTATCACATACAAAAACTATAAGATTCACTATGATAAATAATTACAATATTGAAAATCGTAAGAGATTAACTATAAAATCTTACTTGTTTGTGGAATATGTAGAGTCAAATGATATCACATCTCCAAATACATCGTAATTTCTTCACCCAATAACATCTGCCCAAAAGATGCGAGTTAATCGACCGCCTTCATCAACTGCATAATCATAGAAAAATCCATCACTCATCTCCTTCTTATCCGTGAACTTCTCGATGATCATTTGAGCATCTCGATCACCAATATAAAGCTTCACATCCCTACTCCAATTTTTAAACTCGGTACAGGTAGCACCAACATTAGAATAACTTCCACACAACTCCTTAGCAAAGTTATATGTTTTGTTAGGCCCCATGTTGGCTTTTGCTCCATCAAATACAAGTTTCTTATGTGCGAGACCGAGAACTCTATTTGACTTCAAAAATTGTTTCCCACTACCGGACACCAAAAAATGAGAATGCTCTTCAACAAATGAGAGAACATTATATCCTTTCAAACCATCAAACTTAAACACGACTTTAGCTTTGCAACCACATCTACTAGATACAGTTCTCCTTCTCTTTTTCAAAATGCTACTAGACTCATCAATATCAACATCCATCTTTGATTCATTGCTGCCAGCTCTACTGCAAACAATGTGTTTAAGAAGAACTGTACCGTCCTCATGTTTCTTCTCTGTATGCCGTCTGATCTCAAACCCACTTTTACGTCCATACTCTCGGTAAAACTCTATACCATCCTCTAGTGAGCGAAAGCTTTGGTTTAGATAAGTAAATAATATGGCTATGTTTTTATATACTGAATCTGGATTCATCGCAATGAATCTGGATTCACTGGAGTGAATCTCGATTCACTACATTGAATCCATATTCACTACATTAAACTCTTGAATCCGTTTGAACACGTTCTAGTTATTATAGAATGTAATGATTTTCATAATGTATTCCCATATTTTCTTTCGTGAATCTGGATTCAATGAATTGAATCCACATTCACTAAAGAAAACATGGGAATACATTATGAAGATTATTGCATTCCCTGCACAACTAGAACTTGTTCAACTGAATTCAAGCTCTCCAATTAAATTGACATAAAATGTTCACGAATATAAACTCCTAGATAATAAGTCATATGACTAAGTTTTGATATACTGAATCGGGATTCATCGCAATGAATCTAGATTCACTGGAGTGGATCTAGATTCACTGCATTGAATTCATATCATTGCTAATTAATCTGTAGTGAATCTCGATTCACTTCATTGAATCCAGATTCACTGCAGTAAACAAGTGAATCTGTAGTGAATCTCGATTCACTGCATTGAATCCAGATTCACTGCAGTAAACAAGTGGATAAATTATGAAAAACACTGCAATCTATAACAATGAATCTCGATTCAATGCAGTTAATCTAGATTAACAACTATAATGTGTTCAACTGAATTTAAACTCTCCATTTAAATATCCATAAAATGTTTAAGCGTGTAAGCTCCTATATAATAAATCATATGACTAAGTATTTAAATACTGAATCTAGATCCATTACAATCAAAACAACTAGACCCTGCACACCTGAATTCAAGCTCTCCATTTAAATCTCCATAAAATGTTTAACGACCAGCTGCTGGACGATGAACGAGAGAGCTGAAAAACGCTGAACGAGAGCTGCTAGACGACGAACGATAGCTGCTGGACAATGAACGACAGAGCTGAAGAACGCTGAACGAGAGTTGCTGGACGATTTCCCGATGAACGAGAGCTGAAGAACGATGAACGATGAACGAGAGCTGATGGACGATTTCTCGATTGAGAGAGAGCTGCTCTTCGTGACTGTTGGGTTGCCTGAGCCGTGAGAATGCATGGGGAAATGGAGAACTCAACACTATAAAAACATGCAATTCCATTAAAGGGCTGCTTGTTCCACAACCATTTCCAGAAATCCATGTGACCTTATACTATTTTCCACTCATTTCTACAAAGTTTTCTTATTTTAGTTTGTTTTCCACTTTGAAACCGTAAATGCATTGTTTCGTTTACAATTTTGTAATAAACAAGGTAAATAAACTTGCATTTTGTAGAAAAAAAACTTACACCGATTAATTTCACCTCATGAAAATAAATCTTTTAAACCCAAACGGTTAACCATCTCCTCAAAAGTTGTCTTATATGACAAATTTTACACTAATTAAGTTCGAACACAACACTCTAATTTTTGCATTGAAAATACATTTTCTACAATACAATTTGCAAATGTCCAAACCATAAATTCAAAGTGGATCTCGGTATTTGCCGCTCTAACATTTGCTGCAATTTATTTATGTTGTTTTGATAGGATATGCTAATGATATCCTCTCACTTAATGTCCTTGAATACAAACCGGATCTTTAAGGTCGTAAGAACCAAATAAAAAATCGTACATACATGAATTTGCATGCAATTTCTTTTAAGTTTCCAAATAATTTAAGATTCACTCTCCTGCCCAGGGATACTTCTATGCCTTCCTCCGCTAGAATCACGATACAAATACCAGAGCAAGAGCAAAAACGTACTCGCACAGGCCCTCGATCGACAAGACGCAGAAGCAAGTTCTGCTCTGAATACCCTTAGGATACGTCCTGTGACATCCTACCTAATAATCGGACTACTCCCTGATTTCTTTTGCTAGGTATGGATGGTATGGGGCATAGCCTAAGGATGTTGTAAGCATAACTTTGAAATTTTGCAAGGAAAGAAGACGCACATTCACGGGGAAGGCAAAAGTCCCCTCCGGTACGCCTTCTATGAACATGAAGGCCTTTTCCAATAGAAAGACTATTAGCCTTTACCCCCTCAAATAAATACTACTTCAAGAATTGCTACATACATTTTCATGGAGCGTGTCACTAAGAGCACCCTCCAAAATGTTCATTTTTTTCCTTCCACCTGCAAGGAAATTTGATTTTCGATGCTCAAGGTTATCACCCGACTATTGACACACAACAAAAACATGATGGCAATAGAGATGAAAAGCAAAACTCAAATTACTCGCGAACTTAAAGAAACACGCTTATCAAATGTCAGGTCCACAATTAAACCATGAAAAAAAGACATGTAAACCGGTTTGTGACAGACTCCCAACATAATCACAAGTTCATACAATGAAAAGGAGGGGCTAACAATTCAATTATCTCATCTGGACGATGCCAGCGCTGACGAGCTTTTGAATCTTGTGCAACACTTGGGGATTCTTCAGGTGATCCTGAGCAGCCTTTGGGTTCTCCTGGAAATCGACCAACACCTGGTACACCAGGAAGCAAAATTTGGAATCATTCCAACATCTTAGCAATGTGTTCAGAAATAGGTATAGCTTTTCTTTTGAGGAACTATAATACGCACCTGTCGCATTATTGGGTCGGACAAAATATTCTGAATTTCAGGATCCTGCATTGCCTTGGCCTATGGAACACAAGCACAGAGGTGAGCAACAATAGCCAACAAGTTCCCAAACAAAAAAGTTAAAAACGCGGCGGAAGAGGGCAAGGGAGATCTCATATTAGGAGGAGGAACAAAGGACAACATGACATCCACACATTTTATTCTTCGTCTTTACAATGCTGCTTAAATGTTTCATAGCTTGGAATTAGTCCCTCAAATTATTGAAATTAATATTAGATCGAACAATTCTGTGAAGTTACTCCCAAATCAGTCCCTAGATCATCGGAATTACTATATCTCCCCCATATCTCATAAGTTATTTCAAATTAATCCCTTCACCTGTCGAAGGGACTAATTTCAAAATAATAATAATAATAATAATAATAATAATTAAGGGCTGGGGAACCTAATAACAATCTAAATTAGAGGGACTAGTTTCGAAATAACAAAAGAGTTGGGGATCTAATAGCAATTTCAATGATTTTACCAACTAATTCAAAATTTGAAAGAGTTAAAAGGATAAATATTGAAAAAAAAAACCCATTTATGTTTGCACTAACATGTACTTTAATTGTCCTGAAATACTAACTCTTTGCACTACCGTCAATTGTGCTAATTCAAAATTAAGGGGACGAATATCATGTCCTTAATCCTCCCTATATGATTTTCTACAGAGGGCCCTCTATATATTTTTTCCAGCGAACAAAGTATATCATTAATTGCTTAATTACCTGTCTCTCCTTCAGCTCCTCAGGGCTGAGATCACCTCTGTTCGTCCTGTTGATCTGTTCAACACACCTGAAAGAAGCCAGCAGCGATTCATTTTCAGTACACACAAGGAATAAAAGCTGCCACAGCTGCAAAATATAATGAGTTGAGTCACAGCACAAGAGTTATACCTTCGAACACCATCAAGAAGTTCCTGATTGTTCGGATCAAGTTTCAGACCAGCCTGATATGTTTCCAGTGCCTTGTCATATTCCTTCATGAAGAATTGGACAGCACCTTTCCTCGTGTAACCCTTGGTGAAAGTTGGATCCAACTCAATGCATTTCTCAGCATCTTTCAGTCCCTCCGGTAGAGCCCCCAATTTTGTGTAGCATGCAGCTCTGTTACTGTAGACCTAGACAAACCGGAAAATGACAAGAATGTTGGCGTCAAATACAACATCCCTGAGTTCTTCATAGAGTAAAAATTGCTTATCACAGATGACTATCAAAGAACAATAAGAAAAATTATGAAGCCTTGCCCTTGGATCTTGTGGGTTCCTCTTCAGTGCTTCAGTGTAGTGTTTCACTGCTTCAGGGTACTTCTGCTGCTTGAAGAACTCATTGCCTGCAAGAAAAGTAAGACGAATTACTTAGGTTTACTGATTCAAAGTGGTAGGCTGTAAACTCGTTATGCATTATGCATTTCCTATCAAGATTTTACACAGCAAAACCACAGCTACAACATTTGTAGCCAATGGGCGCAGTGTCATCTTTCTTGACTCTAGGAACTATGGACAAGCTCACTGTGAAACCTAGTAAATAACTAACAGTTAGGGATAAAGGATAACCCAATTCATGATTACACAACCGGACAATGGAGCCTACTAAAAGTAAGCTCGTGGGGTTATCCATCCTTTCATGAGTAGGAGTTTTTAAGATGCGCAATGAAGTAGAGCAGCATGCTGATAATTCTCATCAACTAAAAAGAGTCGAAACCCAAAAGCATCATAAAAGCCAAAGAATATGAAATGTGAAACTCGCCTTAACCTTGACAATGTTAGGTAAGATCAAAACTTAGGCAGCCCAAATAAAAACATGATAATAATCCAGCCAATGCACCTTTAATTGTTTCTTTCATGTGTGCTTTATGACAAGTATTTCCAACTTTTAAAAAATCAAGTGGAACAAGACGTGTTGAATTCCCTTGTATTATGAGATAAAATATAAAATAAAGGGAAAGAAATATGACGTAAAGGGCAGAGAAATAGGACCAAAAATTGAGTCAATGAAGTGGGAGAGTTGCGAATAGGATAGTGGAGACATAACACCATGTCTTCCTTCCTACTTACTGATCTTATTTTCAGTGAAATATAAACAATACAGTTTTAAGTCTTTATCAGTTATTTGTTTATCGCATGGCCAGAAAACAGAACTTAATTGTTGCGTTAAGGTAGGTTGACTACGTATTGTCCTTTTCTAATCAAGCTGTTGTTAACATTGACACTGTTGCCATAGATTTAATCAATATATTTGTGATTGTCGATGTTTCAGTGAAAGGAAAATGACTGTCATAACAAAGCTTATCCTTCTATGTACTCAATGTCTGGCTATTGCTGTGTTATCAGACTATTGTTGTGTATCAGACCTTTTGTGAGACTGTTTATTTTTTTAAAAAAAAATCATACAATCTTACAGATCTTTAATTATTAACTACTTACCTCTCCAGTTCATGATAAATTAATTAATTTTTTAAAAAATTTACTTGCTATACATCACTTTTTAGCTTACTCCGTGGTGCTTCGATTTCTCAAACCTTGGTCACAAGTAACAATAATATATATGTAAGAACATAAAATGAGAAAATAGCAAGAGATCATGTTCTGATCAAGGGTACCTTTCTCACGCTCTTCATCAGCTAGTTTAGGGTCAAAATATTCTTGTTGTTCTAATTCTTTCTTTGCCCTCTCTGCTTCATTAAGCTTTTTCAGTGTTTCAGGGTTGCGGTGTTCAGTTAGAGCTTTCTGGTAAGTCTCAATCGCAGGTTCGTAATCCTTCGAACATTTGGCAAGCTTCACCAGCGCGTTTCCTTTTCTAGTCAGTGCCCTTGCAATCATCTTGAAGTCGGAACGGAGCTCTCTACCCCTCTCAACAGCTTTGTCACAGTCCTTTATACAGTCTTCATACTGAATTCAAAACAATAGGTCATAAGTCAGATATGATGGTAGAAAATAGTTCAAAGTTCACATGGACAAACACTCTCAATGGTCTGCGACATGAAAGCAAGTCCTGTCAGTAACTTTGGTAACAATAGAACTTTCTCGTGTAGACAAATGAAAATATTTCAGACAGCACAGAAAGTCCTGTCAGTAACTTTCTTATGGTCCTTTACACAATCTTTGCACTAAGCTCATAGTAAGACAGAGTTTTAGTAATTAGGATTCTGATTACCTATAAAATACATATAAAATACATAAAAAATCAAATGGAGAAAGATACAGCCTACACCATTCTTACAATCATATTTACAACCTGATTTCCAAAATAGCATATACTTCTTCACACTTTATGAATGCAAAACAAGTAACATGCTCCAAAAACACAGATGAAGCAAGATCAATCACACATTTCTATAAGCTGACAGAGTACTGCATCAAGTACACAAGGAAAAGAACAAAAACCAGTAAGGAACAACACATACTTACAATAATAAACATCTGCATTTTGGTTCAAAGTTAAGCGACTCATCGGTAACTTGTCAGATAAAGCCACTCTTTTATATGGAATAAGCAAGACAACAACGAGTAAGCATAACATTTTTCACCCTACCTAAATCCATCGCCCATGCAACTTCTCCCTAGTCCTAGTCCTGTACTAAAGCAAGCTAGTTATTCTAGCTTTTTTAAGCAGACAGAGCTAATTTTTCCTAAACTCAAAGACTACTTGGTTTCCCATAATATCAAAGAGTCAAGATTTGCTCCAACACAACTTCTTTATGTACTAAAACTATCGGAGCTTCCATTATAGCTTAGCACTTAGAAGCTACTGTGCAACTTGCAATACTAAGCACTTCCAATAGATTAGTAGGAAAGAGAAAAATATAGAAATAGGGCTTTTAGCTATGATTTCCAATAATATCAAAGAGTCAAGATCCATAAGATCTGCTCCAACATAACTTCTATATATACTAAAACTATCAGAGCTTCCATTGTGACTTATCACTGTAGAACCTACCGCGCAACTTCCAATACTAAGCACTTCCAATAGCTTAGTAGGAAAGAGAAAAATACAGAAATAGGGTTTTTTGCTACCCAAGTTGCACTATTTAACTCCCACACCCGTCCAACACCAGCCCAAGGCCCAAAATGTCCCTATCAAGGTTAATAAAACAATCGGTTTTTATATATACCCTTAAATTATGTGTATTCGCAAAATTATCCCTATCATCAATTTCTGAAAAATACCCTCAAAATTAGCAAATCATCGACTTTGTTGGATTCATTGAGTAAATATTTAACTATTTTCGCATTGCATTCACAATTTGACTTATCAAAATTGATGATTTTTTGATTAGTTTTTTATTCCAGATATGATAACTTGAAGTTAGTTTTGCAAACACAGACGTTTGGGGGTAGTTAAGCAAATATGCATAATCGAAGGTGTATGTAGATACCAAAACATATAACAATATAATAATATAATAAAGTAAAATATCAAGGGTTATTTGTCTGTAGACTCAAAGTTCTACCCACATTTATTTTTAAACCCACCCACTTCCAAAATCACTCTTAAGACTCAAAATACTCCACCAAATTACTATTAAACCCATTTGTATTTTGTCGATCTAGTATACAGTGTAAGTTGCTATATTCTAATGTAATTTGCTATAAAATGGTTCCGTACACTCTGCATATTCAAACTAAATGCTTAAACCTTTGTTTTTTTCACTTTTTCATACTGATATCAAAGCATCACAAACCTTAGATGAGATTTTTGCCTATAAACTTAAAAGTTTTATGCCCATTTATTTTTAAATCAACCCACTTCCAAAATTACTCCTAGACCCAAACAGCTCCACCAGATTAATTTTAAAACCATTTTGTATTTCAGTGGTTTGTCAAACACTGTAAGTTGTTATAATTTGCTATATTATTATTCTAAGTGGTTAAGTATGCTATTCATCCTTAAACTAAATTCTTACACCATTATTTGTTGCTTTTTTCACATTAATGTTGCGACATCGTGAAATGTACATGGGTTGCTTGCCTCTAAATATGAAGTCTTACCAGCATTTATTCGTAAAAACTCATACCCTTCCAAAATCACTCTTAGACCTAACTAGGGATGGCAATTCTGGTCCAAACCCAATAACCCACCCAGATCCATCTAATATGAGACTCATCCAAACCAACCCATTTAGCTAAATGGGTTTAATGGGGTGGGTAACTATTCCCATAGAAATTAAATGGGTATTAGATGGGCAGGTCTTGCCCCAACCATAACCCACCCGACAGATAGAAATCTCCTATCTCCTCTCTGCGATTCTCACTTCGAAACCCTAAAATACTCAGCTCCCCTCTCTCTACGATTCGTCTCTCCGAGCTTTGATTCCTCTCTCCGCCACCGCCGCCGCTCTCTTCTTCCGACACTCTCCCTCCTCAATCTCCAGAACTAGGGTTAGGGTGAGGGTTAGATCGATGGCGAGCAAGGCGGTAGTGCCGACGGTCATCATCGGCGGCGGGAGAGTCGACTGAGCGCAACAGAGCATGGGAAACGGCTGTGATGTGTTCGTGGGGAGGGGGCAGCCGGTTCCCTCCGATTTCGAGGGTTAGGGCGAGGGTTTGAACTCAGAATGATGATCTTGAGGCGGTGGTGCTTGAGTCCACTCCTGCTTCTCGATGGAACGGTAATTGCCCTAGTTTATTTTGTTTTGTTTTGTTCTGCTCAAAAGCTTAGATTTTTGTTTGTCTTGAGGTAAAAAGATTTGATTTTGTTGAGTTTTTTGGTAGAAATTGTGTTGTTTTGGTGTTAATATGCTTATGATTTGGATGGTTTTGTTTTGTCTTTTTTAGAGGTTAATTCCTTAATTAAATTTGCAAGAACTTGCTGTATTCGCTTCCAAAGAACCTGTGATGTTGTTGAAGAAATTAATCTTTTAGCATAGAGGAGTATTCCTCAGAGCAGAGAACCTAGCAGAGTTTCGAAAAGTGGAACCTTCAAACTTTTTCTGGAGAGGCTTGCAGTGTCTTTTAGTTTGTTTTTATTTTGATATTTATAAGACTGCAACTTTTATTAGATGTATTAGGACATAATTATGTTACTTTTCATGTTTGTTAATGACATTTAGTGAAGGTGTTTTCCTTCTCTTGTTGTAGTGGTGTTAACATTTCGGTGCCTAATTATTCTGTGACAGACGAAGTCATCTGGATTCTCACAGATCTCAAACTTTTGATCCTCTTCTTCAGCTTTTGATGGCTTAGTTTCTACTAGTTAATCGATTTACAATGATAAAAGTTTTGGTAACTATGAGTTTTGTATTGTCAGATGGTAGCTTCCTGAGGTCGATGGGGAGGGGCTGGTGAAGTTTGTCAGGTGGGTGAAGTCGTCGAAGGGGAACTTGACGACGATGGCGAGGATGAAGATTAAATTCAAGAATCAGGTCGAGGTTCAGAACAGGGGAGCTGTCAGGCAGGTGAGTTCAGAGTTGTCAGTTTGAGATTTTGTTTTTCCCCTCACTTTTTTTCTTACTCGTGTGGAGAAATTTCAAATGGGGGTATGTAGTAACTAAATAGGTTGGTGATCGAGAATTTAATGAAAAATATGAAGTTTCATGCCTGTTCACTGCTTTCTTTCCCCATTTGCATGCTAAGACTTGCATTAGTTATCAGATTTGTGATCTATCTGGTCAAGACATATAATGCATTGTTGTCCATGATCTATATGATAAAGACATGGCATGTTACTATGTCTTTCTGAGTGATATATGTACACTTGTTGCATATCTAAGCAGTAATGGCAAACTTCACTCAATATAAAATCTTTCTGAGTGATATATGTACACTTGTTGCATATCTAAGCAGTAATGGCAAACTTCACTCAATATAAAATGTTGGCATAGTTATTTACTACTGATCTCAATATAAAATGTTGGCATAGTTATTTACTACTGATGTTTTCACCATTTTCCTTTTTTGGTTTTAGGGTGCCATGAGAACCATGGATGGTATCATTGATATAGTGTTGGCTGTCTTTACTTTGTTAAACTTTCTATAGAAATCGTCTTTTATTTGAAATGCAGCCTAACCTTACCCATTATATGTCGATTTTTCAAATGGGGAAGTACATTATTCTACCTTTTAATGATGAATTACTAATGACTAATGAAGTTTATAAACTAAGTGTCGTCTTCTAAGATGTATTATCAAAGTGATATTTTCAAGATATCCTCTGTTAGAAGCAAACACGGATCCTTAACTCCATGGTGCATGAGATTTCAAACCCTCTACACCTCATATATGGATTACATTTAGCCAATGTTTTAAATGTCGAATGTCGAATGTCGGATGTCGGGTTCATGTCGGTCGGTCAAAATTCATGTCGGATAGCGAAAATCGGGGATATATCGGGGGACATGAAAAAAATATCGGATTGTCATATCGTATAGGTTGATATAATATCATAAATGAAATATTCACATACTTGATAATTATATTGTCTAAACATATGAAAAAGTAAATAATTTATTGATGTTAGAATCACTAACCAATTGTAGACACCTGATTTCCGAGTCGGGTTTTTCAAACTTGACCCAATAAGCTTAAAACCGCTTTTTCTGAAATTTGACCGATATTTCTTAGGCGCAATGGTGCCCGACATACCCGATATTTTCCGACATGTCTCCAACATGACCTCAGAAACGCAATACGCATTGAAATGAAGGATATCGTGGCGGCTAGGGTATAAAACCGCCATATCGGTCGCCATGTCCGACATGACGGCCGATATTTGGCCGATATTTAAAACACATCATTTAGCTGGGAGATAATCTAAGGAACAAAATGGGCACTACTATGGGGAGTTTAGAATAAAAGCATTCTTCTAATTTTAGTTTCTATCTAGGACTGGCTTGTTTGTAGATTGAGCATCGACGGCGAAGAAAAACTTTAAGGGATAAGTGATTGGAATCTTCTTCTACTTGTCATTAGCTGATTCATGCTTTTATTATGACTATTACCAGGCTAGTCTCTAGAAAGGAGCACCTAAAAGTTTTGATTCTATTAAAACATATATAGTGAACCTTGTTTCTATTTAGATAGAGATTTTTCTAAGTTGTGCATCACTTATGCTACGAGATTGTATGAGGTTATGTTTACGTTCTTTATGGATTATACTTATTTCAGGTCTGTAAGGACTTCCTACGTGGTCGATGTTTGAGATCAGCCAGCAACTGCCGTTTTGCTCACCACATGTCGATCGATCATTGTGCTATTGTATGAAATTGTTCTACAGTCTTCCTTTGAATTGCTTTTGACATTTTCCTACCTTTTGGTGGATAAAATCAGAAAAAGAAAGTGTTTCAAATTTTTTTAGACAAGAAATTCTACATTACAGGTTTTCTGCCATCTATATTTGATTTTATTCCAAAAAATTCAACTTCTTATGTGGTGCCTTCTTCTTTGTAACTGTTTCATTTTTCTTTATAAATGAAAGTTTACCAAAAGCCCCCTAAAAGTTTATAGAAAAACCCCTGAAAGTTTACAGAAAACTCCCTGAAAGTTTACCAAAACCCTCCTGAAAAATTACAGAAAATCCCCTAAAAGTTTACAGAAAAACCCCTGAAAGTTACCAAAACCCCCCTGAATGTTTACAAAAAAACCCATGAAAGTTTGCAGAAAACCCCCTAAAAGTTTGCAAGTAGATCCTGAAACTTACATATATATAAAAGCATCATAACTAAATGGATTATTGGGTCACCCATGAACCATCCATTTAGTAAATGAGTGGATGAGAAGTGACCCATTTAGCAAATGTTAAATGGGTCATAAATGATCAAGTGGTCATAAACGTGCCCACTCATTTATGACCCAACCAAGACCACCCATTTGACATCCCTAGACCCAACGTATTATACCACATTAATTATAAACTTTGTATTTTAGTAGTTTGATATTAAGTGTAAGTTGTAATTTACCAAATCAATTGGATCAGCTGATTACTACTTAATCCAATGTTCCTAAAGTCTAATGCATACATATTCATTATCAGGTGAAAATTTAAACCCTTGGTCCTTTTAAGTCAAGTTATTTTAGAGTGCTAAGATTAACATAAATTATTTTCAGAGAAATATTCGTAATTTGTACCTACAATTTGGGTTCTCTAAGTTTATGTCCAATGTATAGGCATAGTGGCTTGTATGTCACAATTAATTTAGAGTCTTGGACACAACCTTGTCTTCTTACAGTATTAGGGAGTAAAAAAGAGATGGTTCCCCTTAATGCATACAGTAGTCTTTCCCAACTCTAACATGATGAACCTTAAAAGCCAAAAGCTATCAGTTCTCTTAAAAAAACATGTTAAGATTGCGGACTCAATAAGTAAATTAAAAACTTATGGAATTCCACGCATCTGTAAAATCTAGTTAACTTATAAGAAAAATATATTATATCTATGATGCCAGACATCACTCCCTGTTTTCACATTAACGATTAAGCACAACCCATGTTATGCAACAAAAACATTAGTTGCAAAGCAAAAACGATTAAATACTGATATAAACAGGAAAGGATTCCAACCAAATAATAAACATAAATAAATAAAGCAATGATAAGAAATCACCTTGCCCATCTCCAAATATACCGCAGCCCGGTTCGTAAGGAACGAGATATCCTCATCATCAAGCTCCAAAGCCTTACTGTAATGCTCAATAGCCTTATCAAAATCCTTCTTTTTATAAGCAGCATTACCAGCCTCCTTCTCCTTCTGTGCCTCTGCCTTCCTCTCCTTAACTGCTCTCTCCTCCTCGTTCACCTCCTCCATCGGCTCCGGCTCCGGTTCAGGAGCCTTCTTCTTCTCAGGCTCCGCCTCCTTTTTAGAGGGCGCCGGAAAATCCCTCTCCATCTCTTCGTCCCCGCCTGCTCCGCTCATCTTCACATTAAGCAGAACCCCAAGAACGCTCATCATCCTCTGATCACTCAAATACATGTTGATATTACTCGGATTCTTCTGAATATCCTGAATCATCCTCACAAAGTCCGGCTGCTGAAGATATCCTCTCGTGGTTGGATCCGCCGTCAATTTCGCCCACAGCTCCGGCCCCTGGAAAATCTTCCCAAACGGCGACGCCCCCGCTCCAGCTCCGCCATTGGAAGATCTCATCTTTGCCCTGGCATCAGCAAGTCCAGACTTCAACGCATCGTTGTTCGGATCAATAGCAAGCCCCTTCTCATAAGCCCTAATAGCATCATCGACGTTGTTGAGGCCGAGATGAGCAGCGCCGAGGCGGCTGTAGCCCTTGGCCCAGTTAGGGTTCAGCTCGACGGTCTTCTCGGCATCGGAAAGAGCGTTGGAGAACTGGCCGAGGGAGGCGTAGGCGGCGGATCGATTCGAGTAGAGCACGTGGTTCGATGGCGGGATCGCGTCGGAGAAGTTGCCGGCAGAGAACGCGGCATTGCCCTTGGCTTTGGCCTCGTCCGCCATTGAAAATTAAGCGAGATCTGAAAACTAGGGTTTCGGGATTTTGGAGACGGCGATTTTTTTACCCCGTCGATTTTGGGGATTTCTTTTTGGGGAGAGGAGAGGGGAGACGAAAAGGGTTTTAAAGTCGTTGAGAGAGAGTTCTAGTAGATTTGTGGGTTTTGCTTTGGGGCCGTGGGTTCTGGAAAGTTCCGGTTGGGGTAGAGGTTTTTTGCGGGTCGGGTTGAAGGGCTTTCTTACCCCTAACCCGATATTGATAGAAATTCCATTAAACCCTCTAAAGTTACACATACATGCATACACACATATATGCATACATACATATATGCATATACATACATACATATTGTTATATCTTGCAAATAAGCCAAGTGTTAATCCTCTCTCTAGAGTCAACACGCGTCTCATGACTGTTAACCTTTAGTTCAGCACCATTCTAAGGCAGGACAACTCAAGCAGCATAAACGCAAACTTTCCCAAACAAGTCCCCAGTCGGGCCGACAACTTGCGAGGCAGACAAGATAGGAAGTGCTTGTCGACGTGCTCACAAATTCGAGACAAGAAGCATCCTCACTCAGCTTATCATTCGAACTCACAACACTCGACCCATCCAAGCCGACAACTAGCAAAGCCGACTATAAAGGCGGTATTTGTCGACCTCCGGTATGGAGAGTCGGAAAACGGTGCATCCTCGAGCCCTTAGCCAATAGTTGATTGCCATTGTATTAAATGTATGATCAGAGTTATCATTACTCCAGCCCCAAAAGTCTTTATGACTCATCAGACCTCGTCAACACCACGCCGCCCAGTCATCATCGTATTAAACACCTAGGTGAGTAAATGCTAACAAATTAAGCCGCTTGTTTAGACTCGGCCTAAGTTACCCTTTTGCCCTTTGGATCTGCTATAAAAAGGAAGTGATGTCTGCTGCTTAGGGTAAGCAAAGGCTCTGTTTGGCAAAACTAGCTGAAAGCTGCGAGATTATAGCTAAAAGCTGTTAAGCTAGCTGAAAGCTGTGAAATTATAGCTGAAAGCTGATAGCTGTGTAGCTAGCTGATTGAAGTAGAGCTGTTTGGCAAAAGTAGCTGTACAACTAGCTTAAATTTGTTAAATGACTAAAAAGGACATACAATATTATTCCTATAATTATTAACTTTCCGATTAGTTCTTGCCTCAAAGTCTTTGGCAATGTCTCGCCATTTGAATAGTTGATTGCGGCCATTCTTAGCAAGGAATGCCAAACACAGCTCCAACAATACAATTGTAAAATCGTTTGTCCAGTTAAATGTCTTTCCCTCCACATCATTAGTACCTTTATTTTTTTATTGTCCACATCATCATTACTTGATTCCATCTATAATATAGAAAAAACACAGATTATAATACTACTTGAAGGTTTTTAAGAATTAAAAGAAAATGTCGACAATTTGATCTATTTCATTTGAAACAAACACACACAAAAAAGAACTGAAGCAACGTTTCTAATCATAATTATATAAATAATGGGATTAACATAACCGAGAATAGAGAAATGGGATGGACAGAACCGGGATCAGAGAAGCCCCAAACCCAGCCTAGAATTCCCATTAAACAAACAGCCTAGAATTCCCATTAAACAATCTTCACAAAATCGGCAAAACAAATCAAAACCATAATGACTACCAAATCGAAACAGAAGAGAAAAAAAATTGAAACAGTTAAAATAGAAGACAATTTTTTGCAAAATTAGAACTATAAACAGAATCGAAAAAAAGAAAAAAAGAAAAAAGATGTTGGGTACTTACCTTGATATGATGGGTTGGACAAACAAAGGAAGTCCAATGGGAGGGTCGAAACTACCTTGACAATGACCTTCAATGGAGATGGAGGAGAAACATGCTCAGGAGAAGCAGAAGGGGTGTCAGGCATGAAATAAAAAAAGAGCTAGCGTTTTTTGAGTGGGGTAGTAGCTTTCATTTGTCCTAATTATTAGGGGCAAAAACGGAAGAAAAAAATTGACAGATCCTTTCCAAAAGCTACTTGCAAAAGACACAATCTCTAAAATAATATCCTCCTACTTTTTATCACCAAACAGCTCTACTAGCTTATTGACCAAGTCAATAAGACACAATCTCTTAGATAAGACACAATCTCTTGTTGCCAAACAGTACCAAAATCCGTCCTAAAAAACTCTTTCACATTTAGTCATCTTCTCCACTCAGACTTGGTACTAAGTTGACCGTCGAATGGACCACCGGAGATCTCAACTCCGACCTCTTAGTATTCTGCATGTGTAAGCTCAAGAACAAGTTGTCTAAAAATGTTTGAGAACCCTAACACCCCACCTCATCCACAGATAAACTCTCCATTAGATAAATTGACATCAACACACATACATGCTTCCGTGTGTATATATATACGTATATACATATACATATATATACATATACATCTATATATGTGTGCGTGTACATATATACATGTATAGAGATATACACACACAAACACACATACGTATTATACATGCATATGTATTATATATACATAACATACATACATACGTGTACACACACACGCGCACACACACACACATATATATGTGTGTGTGTGTGTGTGTACATATACATATACATATATATATACCCACACATATGTATTATATGTACATATGTACTACACACACATATACATATGTATATGTATGTGTGCGTGTGCGTGTATGTATATATATACCCGCACTTATGTATTATATGTACATATGTACTACACACACGTGTGTGCGTGAGTGTGTGTATATGTATATGTATACATGTGAATGTAGAAACTCGGTACCAAGAATAATTTTTGTGCTTGGTAGTGAGGTGAGAATGTGTCACCTCACTACTAAGCACAAAAACTTGTGTTTGTTACAAAGTTCCTCCATATTGCAACATCTCCTCCCCTATTTTCCTCTCTCATTAATCATATTTGCTCTTCCTTCTTCCACCACTCTTGTTGTATCCCTCAAAGACCATCTCCTTTGGTTAAAACGGTCATGTTGTATTTTTTTACTTTAAATTTTGAGTGTTAATTTAAATCATTGAGTGTTAAGTTTAAATTTTGATTGTTAAATTTAAATTTCAATTGTCAAAATATTTATAGCACTTAAAATTATAGTTATCTAAAGTTAATACTCAGGATTTGAAGTTTTTTTGAGAAAGCAAAATATTTAAAATTAAACACTCGAAATATGTCATTTTAGCCAAGGGAGATAGTATTTGAGGGGTATGATATATTTTATGTGGAAGAAGGGGGTAAAGATGCTTGACGAAACACAAAATTTGAAATTAAACACTCAAAATATGTCATTTTAGCCAAGGGAGATAGTATTTGAGGGGTATGATATATTTCATATGGAAGAAGGGGGTAAAGATGCTTGACGAAGGAGGGGGAAAATGACGAAGGAGAGGTGATGAGGGTGAAAAAGCTTGAATTTTAATTTTTTTTAAGATATCACATGTTAACTTTTAAATCTTCACTGTTAGGTTTAACTGTTAGATGTCAAATTTAACTATTAGGTGTTAACTTTGACTATAAAGTATTAAGTTTAACTATTAAGTGTTAACTTTAACCGTTACGTGTTAATTTCGGTGTGATTTTAAAGATTGTTCCTTTTAAGCTGAAAATGATAGGCTTTAAATGATGCAGCAACAATTGGAGAAGAAGAAGGAGGAAGAGAGATAACTAAGGAAGAGAAAATCATACTCCCTTTAAAAGTACGAGTTCGGGAAAATCTTTCTATGGTCAGTATTACCCTTAGCTTTTTTGAATATTACATCGTTATCCTAATCTATTCTAATTTTAATCATATCTTATCTAATTCCACGTGAACTATCTATAGATCAACAATTTAAAAAAAGTTATTTTGAATATTTCACTTAAATCTTAATCTATCCAAATAATAATTATATCCTATATTAACTCCATATGAACTACCTATAACTCAAAAATATAGAAAAAATAAGATTAAGAAATTATATGTAGATAACATATTATAATACATGAAGTATTATAAAAAAACCCAAAAGTTTCAAAATTTGCATATAATAGCCTCAAAAGTTTAAAATTACACAAAACACATTGACTTTTTAAAACTAAAAAAAAAAACATGATATCTAAAAATTTAAAACTTGTAATTAACACCCTCAACATTTTAAAAATTATAAAAACAACCTCAAAAGTTTAAAGGCTAAATTACATTTATATACCCTATGTGTTTCGCTCTTGAAGTAGTTATATACCCTAAGTTACAAAATATAGCAAAAAAATACCATGAGTTGGCAAAAATTTGCAAGTTAGTATCTTCTGTTAACCAGCTGTGAGAATACTTTTTGGAATATTCCCACATGCTGGACCTATGACCAACTTGAATACTTCTTACCCTCATTTATTATATTATTTACTGTATTACCTACCCCCCACCCCTCGGCGCAAATTAGATTATCTTCATCATCATCTTCTTTCGTGGCCTCCAACTTCTTCTTCCTATTTAGTATGGGTAACAGTAGAAAATAAGAGATTTCACTATGTTGGGAGGGGGGGGGGTTAATTCTTAAGGAGGGGTATTATTGTCCTTTCATGTATTTTTTAACCCCGTTAGTTAAATTTAAACAGTTACCAACTCATGATATTTTTTTGCTATGTTTTGTAACTTAGGGTATATAATTACTACAAGAGCAAAACAATAGGGTATATAAGTGCCATTTATCCATATTTAAATTACAAAAAAAAACATTCTAAAATTCAGAAATTTCAAAACTTAGAAACAACATAGATGGATTCCAGGGATTACCATTAGGCACATAGAAATTTAAAATTATTAAAAAAAAACCTCAAATGTACAAAAAAAAAAAAACTCTCTCAAAAGTAAAAAATATTAAAAAATTCTGAAATTTTAAAACTTATAACTGGTACATATAAAATTTAGAAATTATCAGCAGATTGCTACAAATTTATAAATTTTAAAAAACAACCCAAAATTTTAGTAATTATAAAAATACCTTTAAATTTTCAGAGTTACGAGAAATATTCTAACATTTAAAAACTTATCACCAATATGTGAAACATGAAAATTATAAACGGCCAACTTAAAATTTAAAATTTTTATAAAATAGTATCAAAGTTAAAAAATTACAAAACACACTCTCAAAAGTTTAGATGAAATTTGGCAAAAAAGAGAGGAAATGTTTGATATTATTACATTAAGATATAATAGGTTAGCATTAATTGATTATAATGTATAAAGATTTATCTCTAATGTTGATAATATTTATTTATAAAGTTAAAAAAAATACAAGGAGTTATGTATGGAGAAACTATCAGAAAGTTCAGAGATATCCTTTAAAAGAACTAAGTTGTTTTCATTTCAAATGGAGAAGCGAAGGAAATAAACTCAAAATTCATAAACATTCATGAATCACCTGAATTGACATTGATAAAAAGCATATCGAGCAAAGAAGCACTAATCGAGTTCTTCTTAAAGAACATATTGAACAATTATGCCCTAATTAAAAAAACATTATTCATGAAAAGTACAAGAAAAATTAGTAAGCATTTATAAATTTTCATACTTTATTCTAAAAATACTGAAGGAATCATAAACTTAATATAAAATGTTATATAAATAATCTTGCAATAGAAACTAAAGTGAAGCCATTGATCAACTACATTGTGAGATATAATAAAAAACTAAAGTGAAGCCATTGATCAACTACATTGTGAGATATAATAAACTAGATAAGATGAGAAAATTCACTATAATGGACAAAAACATTGATCAACTACATTGTGAGATATAATAAACTAGATAAGATGAGAAAATTCACTATAATGGACAAAACATATGCACATGATACTTAGTTACCATAGTGTAAGTAAAAAAAAGTAAAATTGATATTTTTCTTTTCTCTATATAGTGCCACGACTCTGCAAGTATCCTTATTTGGGGATACGACTATCAACGAAAGATCAATTTTTAAGAACACGATCAAAGATAAGCATGTAATAGTATTGTCAGATTTCAAGATCTTTAAATATGAAGGTAACATATTTTACAACTAAAATACTTATTAAAGGCCACTAAATATAAAATTCATCTTATACCTGTCTTAAATTTGTATGAAAGATATGTATATCATTGTAAATTGTGTTAATAATATATCAACTTATTGAAGAAATAAGAGATAGATAAGCAAACAAAGCAGACATCCATATAACATGATAAAGAAAAAATATTACACTTTAAAGCTAATATGCAGAGCTCATTCAGAACAAGCTGCTAAAATAAAAGCATCTCCATCAAGGCTCTTTATAAATATAACACAAATTTAATTTATTTAATAAAATTAGCTTAGTTTTTTTGAGTAAAATCAGGAATCTTTAGAAGTGATTTTCATGAACTCTTTTAAGTTTTTATATGGTTATGTGGATGCTTTTATCATATAAAAGTGTAATAGAGTTTGCATTATTCTTTATTTTATTATTTTTTTTCTAAAGTCTATCAGTGATTAGCAACAAAATTTATATTCTCTTTAGTTTTATTCTAGCCCACTTTTAATTAATCATCTTGTCTTATTGACTTTAATTATTCATCATTCTTTTATAACATTATCTTTTTAAGTGTTTTTCACTTTTACAACATTATACCTTCTTAAGTCAAGCTTGATTTCATGCCGATCTAAATAACACAAAAATTCAAATTAGCTTTAGATTATAGTTATTTCTTGTCAATTCAATTATTATATAAAAATTTTAAATTTGGTGTAGCCCATTCAAACAAACATTAAAAACAATAATCACAATAGTAAAGTTTGAAAACATAAGTGAGAAAAATAATCAAACTGGAACCGAGAAACAAATTTTAGTAAAGAAATAAGTCAAAAATACTTAATCATAATATTTAATCACGTGTATTGCACGTGCATAAATCCTAGTAAAATAAAATAAAGGAAGAGTGATCGTGACGGTGAAAAAGATAATGATTGAGAAATAATTAAAAGAAAGAGAAGGATAATGCAATTAAAAAGTGGTGGTGAAAAAAATAATGGGTGAGAAGGAGGAGTAGAAGGCGATATTTCATTAAGAAAAGAAACAAGAGATAAGAAGAAAGGGAAGGAGAACGCAATAAAGCAGATCACGGTGAAAAAATTAACGATTAAGAGGACAAATTTTCAAAACCATCCTATTTAGAAATTTATTTATAAAAAACGACCCCTTTTAGCCTTAATTGCAAAAACCGACTCAGTTTGTTGAAACTAGGTCGGTTTTTGAATTTTTTTTTTCAAACTTCACGGGAGTTGAACTCTCGTGAAGTTTTGTTATGAGAAAAAACTTCACGGGAGTTGAACTCCCGTGGAGTTTGGAATTTTTTTTTTAAAAAACCGACCCAGTTTCAACAAACTGGGTCGGTTTTTACAATTAAGGCTAAAATGGATCGTTTTTTATAAATAAATTTCAAAATGAGATGGTTTTGAAAATTTGTCCACTATTAAGACGCCGGAGGAACACATGATGAAAAGTAGAGAGGCGGGCACCATATGATAGTTCTCAGATGGAGGCCTAGAGGCCCTAGACGCATTTTTTCTTAAATTTTTCATGTCAATAATTGTTGGTTAAAAAATACAAGTGAGGGTATAACAGTGCAAAGCGGTGTAAACTACAAGGATTTCAAAGATTAAAAACAACGCAAATAAGCTAATTAGCCTAAAACACAAACGCAAATTCGCAAAAGCCCTTCTCCCTCTCCCGCTTCTCCTCCGTTCCCCTCACCCAC